AGCATAGCACAGATATGCCAGAGCCCATCCAGCTCTCCGGAGAGAGGACACAGATACAGGCTCAGCATGGCGCTGGCAGGCCCGCACACCACCTTCTGTAATGGGCTTCTTTCCTTAGCATGTTTTCGAGAGTCATGCATGCTGTAGCATGTATCAGTGTCTCGTTCCTTTTTGTTACTGCCTTGTGCCCTTTTATCTATTACCCCATCTAGTTCCCATTTCTCAGATGGGTAAAGTAAGGCTCAGACAGAGCTGGTGACTTGTGTGAGCTCACACATCAAGTCAGTTGAAGACCAGACTGGATTTCAGGCGCTGACACCTGGCCTGAGACTCCACTCTCAGGAAAGGGCAGGCCTGGGGCAGAGGTAGGGGGCGTGGGGTAGTGAAGGCCTGGCAGGTATGGAGGAGGCACAAGAGAGAAATGGGTCAGGTGACTTCTCTTGATGAGAGAAGACCCTCAAATGCTCACACTATTCTAGGCCTGACTCTTGGAAGAGCACAAAAGAGAGGCTGTGGAAGTTCAGGTAGAAAACTGGACTTTGGACTAAGGAGGATCCTGGATCATGGGACTCGGAGGTGAAGGCTTTCTCTTGCCCAGAGCCAGCAGGGGCTCCAGGCAGGGGATTTCTGAGGAATTTGACTGATATCAGCAGCCCTAGGAGGTGACGTGAAGAAATCGATCCATCCTAAGTAATGTTATTAACCCCAGCAGGAAGAGGGGGTGGGGGAGAGTGGGGGGAGCCTGGTCTCTGGGAGCTTGTCTAGCTGTGTCTCCGTTAGCTGAGCTTACAGGCCTCCTCAGAAGCACAGTCCAGGAAGCCCCTGGATCCCCTTCTCTTGCGGCCCTGTGTGGGTCACTGGGGAGGGAGGAGGGATTCACTCAGACTGTCCCACAGGAAAGATGGGGTTGCTGACAGTGACACACAGGGTGCCCAGGGAAGAATGAGGCACACCCAAGCTCTACCCCTGGGGATCCCTCTAGCCAAATTGGAGGCTCAGCAGAAGCTCCCTGGAGAAGGTAACATCTGAACTGAAATTCAAAGGAGTGGAGGATGTTAAGGGACAGCGAGTTCTGGACGGTGAGGCTGGAGGTGCTGGCAGATGCTGGTCAATTCCCTGTTAAAAAACTCGCTGTGGCTGTAGGTGAGAGCTTGGATTGGACGGGCAGGCCCCCACAGGGAGGCCAGAGGATTCCCAAGGTGCTGCAGGGGGCCTTGATGCCCCAGCCAGATAAGACACTGGCAACCACTAAGAAAAAGGGCCTCACACTGTGGGGTGACTCCTGACACGACATTTTGCCGAGGCTGGTCTTCAGCACCAAAGAGGAGAAAGAAGACCCAGGCCAGGGCAGAAGTTGAGGGGGTATTGAGGAAAGGACTGGGGCGCTGTTTGAAGCATGTTGGGGGGTGGTTGGGAAGGCAGGGTGCTGTGCTGGGTCTGCAGGACCTACGTGACAACCCTGGACACTGCCCGGAGCCACTGCTGTCTATCAAGAGGCAGATTGGGTGCCCTTGGCCGGGCCTGGTAACTGAAGCCCTGGGAGTGAGTGAAGTGAACCCCGGAGAACATGCGGAGGAAAGAGAGCCCCTGATATTATGAATAATAGGCACCCTCTGCCCTGCAATCATCTGGCCTCCTATAGAAATCAAGACAAAATGCTGTTACCCCATTTTATAGAAATCATAGCTCAGGAAGAGCCCTGAATGCAGTCAGTGGCTGAGAGATGAGTTCTACCTATCGGCTGCTCCCTCTTCCTGGGAAGATTGGGGGTGGGGGTGGGGGAGGAGATGTGGGGGTCCTGCTAACAATAGGGGCCCTAATTGGGGAGTGCACAGGGTGACACCTGACTCCCTCTGGAGGGCTGTGAACGTGGGGGTTCCTTTGTAAGCACACACTCCTTCAGGAGTGGAATTGGGAAAGTTCCCTCCCTGCCCCCAGGGCCCTCCAACCTGGCAGGAGCCAAACCAAGTGCAGCAACATCCCCATCTCATACTGTCCCCCCAAGCCCTGGGCTTGACAGCATAGACACCCCCCCACCCCCTGAGCTACACTTTCAGCTCCCCATTGTCCATATGGCTCCTTAGGGACCCACTGAAACAGGCTGCGCTGGACAATTCCCAGCAAATAGGAGAGGCTCCAGGTCAGCCCCTAATGCAGCTCCCTGCTCAGACTAGAGGCTGTAATGTCTGTTCTGAGGTTAGCATTTGGTGGAGGGTAGGGCATAGCTGGAGACCCTGAGGGAGGCCCAGAAGAGGAAGTAGTGGGTGAGCCTGAAGGCCAGAGCAGGAGCGAGTCCTGGCCCTGCCTGCTCGGTATTAAGTGCCCAAGGCTTTCCTTTACTACCCCCACCCCCCCATATGCTGTACTTACAGTACCAGCTCCTGAGCTACTGTAGCCCTGTGGTTGCAGAGTCCAAAAGCCTTCCCTATAAAGGGTCAGGCGGTGAGTGTTTCAGGCTTGGCAGGCCCTTTGTTCTCTGCACAACTATTCAACTCTGCACATAGTTACACATAGCAGCCACCGATAATACACAAATGAATGAGCAGGGCTGTCTCCTTTACAACTTATGGATGCTGAAATTGGACTTTTGTGTAATTTTCATGTGTCACCAAATATTCTTGTTTTGATTTTTCCCCCCAACCACTTAAAAATGTAAAAGTTATTCTTAGCCTGCGGACTCTTCAAAAATAGGTGGCAATGTTGGGTTTGGCCCATGTGTTGCAGATCTGAGCCCTCCCCCCCTCCCATTAGACAGAGCAAAGGTCCTGGAGCAAGTCTGCCTGAGGATGAATTCTATCTCCGCTGTGTGACCTGCAGCAAATGGCTAAAGCTGTCTCTGCGTCAGATTTCTCATCTGTAAAACGGGGATGATAATGATAATACTTTGGGACTGTAAGATGGTACAGCTGCTTTGGAAAATTACTTTTGGCAGTTCTTCAAAAAGTTAAATAGAGTCAACATGTGACGCAGCAAGTCCATCCCAAAGTATGGACTCGAGAGAAATGAACACTTCCACTCACACAAAAACTTGTTCATATCACCCAAAATGTATCAGCCCAGATGTCCATCAACTGATGAATGGATAAAATGATCTATGCATACAGTTGCATGTTACTGAGCCATCAAAGGGAATGAGATCCTGATTCATGCCGTACCATGGATAAACCTAGAAAACATGCTAAGTGAGAGAAGGCAGAAAAGCTCTTGTGTCCAGACTGCCCGCCTGTGACTCTGCAGGCCTCTCTTTTCACAAACCTTTCTCTTTGCAGCTTTTTCTGCCCACTTGTGTCTGTGCAAGCGTCCTTTTTTCCTTTCCTTTTTAATATAATAAGCCTATCCTTTTGGGGGGAAAAAAAGCCAGAAAGGCCATATTTTATGCTGCCCTTCATATGCAAGGTCAAGAATGGGTAAGCCCTTGCTGACAGAAAGCAGATTAGTGGTTGCCAGGGCCTCGGGTGGATTGCGGGGTGGAAGAGGGATGGAATCAGGGAGGGGGGATTGTGGCTGCTAAAGGGCATGGGTCTTTTCCCTGGAATGATGAAGATGCTTTAGCATTAGATAATGGAGATGGCTGTACCATTTCATGACTGTGCTGACCAATTCAATACACTAGAAACTGAATGGTGTACTTTAAAACGGTGCATTTTATGTTATGTTAATTACATCTCAATTAAAAAATAGTGATAATACTTATCTCACAGGGTCGCTGATGGAATTGGTGCATGCACAGCGCTTGGGACAGGGCCAGGGGCATAGTGAGCCTGGTATGTCTCTCACGGGTCCTAAGGAGCCCCGGGAGGCCACCGTGTCTGCCCTCCTTATATGCTCTCCAAGGGCCGAGGACAGGGCCTGGTACAGAAAACAGAGTTTTGACATTTTAAAGTGCCACAGGCTGGGGTTGAGTTAGGGTTGTTTAGTTGATTACTTGGACAAATCATTTGAGGATCTTAGCCCCAGGCTCCTCATCTGTAAAATGGGAAAGTAATAACAATGGCGTTGATGATTGGATGATGCCTGACATCAGAGTATGTGAGATGTCCAAAGTCAGCAGCCCCCTGGCCACACTTGGCCAATGCTGTCTTCCAGTGGCTTCCAGCAGGAATCTCCAAGGTGACAGGCAGAACTGGGGCACTTGCTCCTGGTGACATAAGATACCTCCCATTGCTCCACCAGCCCCTCCTCAAGACCCACCAGGCTGGCACTTCCCTGAGCCTGAAGGGTTAAACACTTTGGGGCACTAGAGGAGATTCCCAGATTGACCACATCCAGCTGTGTGACCACAGACAAGCACCGCCCCCTTCTCTCTCTGAGCCTCAGTTTGCCCAACTGTCCAATGGGTTTAAGACATAGTACCTACTGCTCTGGGTGGTTGTGGTGATCAAATGGAACAACAAATACAAGTGTTCACACCTGACCTGGGGTAAGCTTACATTCTGAGTGCTTAATACATGTCAGCTTTTCAGATGATTTATTGTGAAAGTCTACTACGGGGTAGGCGCTGTCCTAGTTAGTGGGGATACAGAGAATAAAACAGACAAAAACTCTTGCTTTCACGAAGCTTAGACTTTATAGTGGGAGTGGGGTAGGCAGAGAAAAGGCAAAACGTATATTTGAGAACATGATAGAGGAAAATAAAACTGAGCAGGGCTAAAGGAGCGTGGGGGACGGGACTGCACTTCTATAAAAGGTGACCTGGCCGAGAGATTTGAAGACCCGAGGAGAAGAGGGAAGGAGGGCGCCACGTCGGGGCTAAGGGGAGTGTCCTCCAGGCAGAGGAAGGGCCAGTATGCTGGGCAAGCATAACTGGAGGGGACAACGGTGGCAGGGAACAGTCCTGGGGGACCTGCAAGGGATGACTCTGACTCCTGGAGGGACAGGGATCCTTGAGGGGCTCTCGCAGAGGCTGGCCCACCCTGACTGAGCCATAATGACTTTTGCTGAGATGGAGATGACTCCGCCCTACCTTTGCCTTCCTGATAGTCCTCTGCTTCCTCCCGCAGGACCAGCAAGGGGCCTCCATGGGCGCCTGAGGGCCAGGCGCCAGGGCGGCGGGCAAGAGCATGGTGAGACACCAGCCCCTGCAGTACTATGAGCCACAGCTGTGCCTCTCCTGCCTCACGGGCATCTACGGCTGCCGCTGGAAACGCTACCAGCGCTCCCACGATGACACCACACCGGTGAGCACACCAGGACAAGGTCAGAGGGATTCAGGGGAGTCCAGAGCCTGGGGGAGGAACCTTAGCTCTGCCACTCTGCTGTGCCTCTTGACGGGTCAATTCCCCTCTGGGTTTCAGTTTCTCCTTTGTAAAATGGGCCCCTGGTAACTCCTGAATCCACCTGCCAGGTGGGCAGGCCTGTCTGTCATGAATGTAACCAGTTGTTAGCTTCCCTGTGACGGCCTGGGGGCTGAGCCGTCTGGGCTGGAGGGTTGTCCCAGGAGGAAGGGGTCACCCCAAGGTGAACAGAGGTTCTAGACTTCCTGGCGGAGCAGGATGGGCAGGTAGGGAGTGAATGGCTGGTGGGGAGAGTAAGAAGGTGTGCCTGAGAGCTGGCAGGGCTATGGCCTGGCACTAGGGCCTGGTCACCTGAACCACAGGCCTGTCAGAGCTGGCAGTGGGTGCTCCACTGGATAAAGAAAGCTTCTTCAGTGTCCTGCTCCCTGGCATTATCCCTGAGGCAGTATCAGCCTGTGGATCTAATTTCTTCTCTGAAGGAATCCAATTCCTTTAGGAGGGAAGGAGAGATAAATGATATTTATCTAAAAGCTTTGCTTCTGGAAAACAACAACTTTCCTCCTCCTTCCTGCCTGCCTGGCTGAACGAAGAAGCCAGCCTCCAAACTCGGCTGGCCCCACACAGGCTAGAGTGGCCGAGGGTTTTAGGGGAGAGGCCAGTGTTGCTGGCGAGCTAGATGGGACGGGGGCGGGGGGGGGGGCGGGGGGGCGCGTGGGAGCGGGGATTGGGAAGCCTGTCCTGCAGCCTGCTTGTTGTCTGCCTTCCCTTCTCTGCCAGTGCTAGTGAGGGACAGAGTGCTAGACTGAGTCAGGAGCTCCGGTTTGTGACCCCCAAAAGGTGAGAAGCAGGAATCACCTGGTGGGCACCAATCCCACTCTTGCCCTGTCCCCACTTCCAGCACATAGGCGGCAACATGCCAGACTAAGGTGAAGGAGAGACAGGGGCCTGCCCAGGGCCACAGAGCAGGCCTCTGGCAGTGCAGGGAGGCGATTCTAGGAAGGCGGCCCTGTCTCCATGGCAGGCCCTGCTGGGATCGCCTCTCCAGGGAACCATGTTTTACAGCCTCTCCCTCCTATACAGACATAGGACTCCCCCACCGTGGTGCACAGCATGCGGTCTGGAGTCAAGTGCACTTCAAGTTCAAATTGTGCCTCTTCTACTTGTACCTCCTTGAACTTCCTCGCCTGCGATAAAACACACACTGCTCTCAAAGAGCTGCTGGCAGAGGGCATGCAATAATGGCATGAGTGACCAGTGCAGTGCTAGCGATGACAGTCATCTGGACAAGTCATTCTGACCCCAAGCCTCTGCCTCTCCATCTCTGAAATGGAAGAGGAGCTGAGTTAAGACTTCAGAATTCCACAGCCACTCTGCTTTGCTCCCAGCTCCATTCTCCCCCTAGAAGCTGCCTGAAAGGGACAGGCAGCCAAGCTTTCTTCTGGTCAAGAAAGAGGAGCTCAGCTGTCAACTGGCACCACGTGTCTCGTGCCCGGCGCTGTGCTGAGCACTGACATGCAGCCCAACGCGTCTCCCATTTGTTGGGAGCTCAATGTTATCACTGCCATTTCACACAGGGAAGCGGAAGCCAGGGCGGCATTGACAGCTCGGAGTTCTCATAGCCATTGAGGGCTGTGTAGTCAGAAATCTCCATGTGGGGGCTGGGATGGAGAGCGGGAGGCAGCCGAGGCTGAGGGAGAAGGCAGATCTAGCTCCCACGCACGAAGCCCCTTGGCCCTCAGACATGCTGGAGGACGGCCTGTGTCCCAGAATCTCCCACACCTTGGTGGCCCAGGGCTGGCCAGCGGTAGGGCATGGCATCAGGAAGTGATGGCTCTTGACGGTGGTCATCACAGGGATCGGGCGGAGGGAGTGCTGGGCCAAGGCCGGTTTCGGGCTGACCGGGGTTGGGGTAGTGCGGGCTCTGCAAATGCCAACGTCTGGGGTGCCAGGTGGGGGCAGGGGACCACAGTCAGCTTGATTGGGAGAGGAGAGAGGCTTTTGCAGCATCTCTGTGTGGCAGGGCCACTGCAGGAGGGGCTGAGTTCACCTCAGGCAATGCAAGACTCCCAGCTGGGGGCACGTATCCACCCCCTTGAATCACTCACCCGGTTCTGTTCCTGCTCCTCCTACTTCCTGGTTTCCAGCCTCAGTTTGCACCCCCTCTCTGGAGCTGTCTCTTCTCTCCAAGTCCCTCCTGAGACAGCAGGGTGTGATGATGCGGGGGCTGGGCTCAGTGAAAGTGACTAGCAGCACAAGTTCCGGGGAGATTTCAATGAACCAACCGAGGCCCTGGAGTGAGCCCTGGGAGGGTTTGAGTAGGGAGAGGGGAGACCCCAACTTGGGGAAAGGGCTCCTACTTTGGGCTATGCCTCTCCTCATCCCCACCTTCTCCCCCTCCCTTGGGGATGCCCCACTCCTCCATGCACCCAGGCACTGCCTTCCTTTGGATCCTCTTGGGGGAGCCCCCGTGTACTTCCCAACTCAGAGAGCTTGGGTCAAGGCCCCCCTGGAAGCCAGATCTCTTGGGGCCTCATCTGTGAAATGGGTGACAGACGTGGTGAGTCACAGAGCATTATCTCTCATCCTCTGATTGGAAATGAAGTGTAATAGTTAACACTTATTGTGTACCTGTTGTATGCAGGGAGAGTGTGGCTTACTTGTTAATTGTTACGTTCCCCTGTGGGGCGTGTTAAATGCACTGTTTATGATCTGTTTACAGCAAAAACTCAGGAAGATGGGGTGTGGGAAGGAGTCTGTGTCTGTCTTAATAAGAACTTGAAGGAGGGAGAGCAAGGAGGACAGAGGTGAGGCTGGAGCAGTTGTTTGATAGGGGAGAAAGAGCACTGGACCAGGAGCCACTGGAGCAAGAGTGTCTTGAAGGCCAGACTAGGAGTCTTGGGTCTCCCTGGTTAAGACCTGGTCTTGTGGGGTGGGAGTGGATCCTGGGGAGTGCAGAGGGCACAGGGGGGCTCAGGGGAAAAGGAGCCTTCCTCTCTCTCCAAGCTGACCTCCTTCTTTCCTGCCGTCCTTGACATCTTCCCATCTCCTCCAAGCCTTGCCTCACAAGGTCGCCTCCCCCAGAACACACTTAACAAATAAGGAAACGGAAACTGAGGACCAGGAGGTGAAATGACCTATTCTCCTGCCCCCAGCTGAGGGAGTGAGAAGCCTGGCCCAGCGACAGCTAGGAAGGGGAAGCAAAGCTTTTTATAACTGGGGATAATTAATTGGTTGTTGTCTGTGACTCATTACTCTAATACTGCCAATTAAGGACTTGGTAGGACAGAAGACAGTTCTCAGGCAGTCCCCACAGGGGTCCTCTGAAGATTGTGTGTCTGTGGGAGGCAATACAGTCAGAACTGGCTTCTCTGCAACAAGAGGGATGTAGGTCAGACGCCCAGAGGAACTTCCCAGCCCAAAAAACTGAAGAAAACAATGACTGTCAACTCTCTAGCACTTTCATAGTACAATTTCCTATTTTTAAGAATTTTTTGTCACTTTATATTTTAAATTACGTTTATTGCAGTCATGTTAGTTTACAACCCTGTATATGTTTTAGGGGGTATAGGCTCACACCTCTGCAAATGTATGTTGTCATACCACTTCCACCACCACAGCCCCAATAATCCACCAAAAACAGTTGTTTTCTTTATGGTGAAAAATTTATATTTAGAATTAGCCAGCTGGGCTCAGCTTAGAGAATTCCAATTTTGTTGGCAACATCCAAAGCGTCATCGTCAGGAGCCAGTGGAACATACGCCTTCTTCTCCCATCAGGTCTCATCAGGGTGTTGACCTTGGCCATGTCAATGTCGTAGAGCTTCTTCACAGCCTGTTTGGTCTGGTGCTTGTTGGCCTCGACATCCAGTGGACACAAGTGTGTTGTTGTCTTCTACTTCATGGCTGACCCGGTGGTCTGGGGAATGTGATGATGTATGGGGGTCAAGCTTGTTTCTCTTGGGGGTCCCCCCTCCACTCCCAGGGTATTTGGGTTACTTTCAGGGCTGCAGTGTCTTGAACACCTGGAAGGCGGGTAATGTGCAAAACTTATTTTTTTTTATGTGTTGAGTGGATGTCCTTAGCACTGCTTTCTTGGCCGTCAAAGATTTTGCTTTGGCTTCAGCTTTGGGAGGGGTGGGGGCTTCCTTCTTTGCTTTTGGAACCGTCTTCCAAAATAGGCCACTTTTGAAGTCTATTTTAAGCTTGTGTGACCCTGTCCATCTTGAGGGTGGGGCTCCAGGAAATGTGAGTTATTCAAGCTTTGGAGATGAAGGCATAGTCAACTGGCTCCTCCTGGCACCCCAGGCCCTGTGCCCTCACCTTGTTCTACCAGTCTTGTCTGGGATGTACTGGTTACTTGTTCAGTCAACAAACCTGTGCTGACACCTGCTATGGGCCTGAGGATCACAAGTATATCAGACCTGGACGGGGTTTGATGGGGCACCTAGGTTTGAGAGGGGACAGATAGGAACCCATACACCCAGACCACCCAGGGTGATCAGCAGAGGCCCAGGGAAACCCTGGGCACAAGAACTTGCCTGAGCTGGTGCCTGGAAAGTTAGCCAGAGTGGGGAAATGTGTAAGGTCAGGGAGCTGCACATATAAGAGTGTCTTGTATTTGGGAATGGAAAGCAATAGGCCCCAATGTGGCTGTGGTGTCAAGAGGGGGGACAGTGTTCCTAGTGGGCCCAAGCCTTGAGATAGTATTGGGGAGCCTGTGCTCCATCCCGGGCAGACTCTGCAGGGGCCAGAGTAAATCAGAGAGGATGCTCTGAGGGGCCTGAAGTGGGGGCTGGGGAGCACAGGAGGTCAGATAAGAAAGGCTGAGGCTTCAGCTGGGGCACGAGAGGGACGAGAGACACCTAGAAGGTGTGATCAACAGACTGGCTGTGGAAGAGATTTTGGGTGATGACTCTTCATCATCCGGTGATTTCCAGCCTGGCT